AATAAGACAGTTGTGAATATTATACATCTAACAGCCCACAAAGCTGTCTCTAGAAACATATACTAACTTAATAACTTCTATTCCTGCATCAGATTCACTCCCTAACCATCCTATCAATTTCTATTGAGATAACAAAATACACAATTAGAATATTTTCTAGCAAAAATTTCATTGCTAAAATCTTATCAGTAGCTTCTGAATAACTCTACAGAACACCGAAGAGACAGACCTAAATCGCAAGCATGTCACCACCCCCCTCCGCCCCCTCCCCCCCGCGTCTCACAGAAGCGAGGGGAGGGGGGGGGTGTTTTAGCAGAGGGGGATTTGAGTGGAACAAGAGAGAGACTGCCTGCCAGCACGAATTTAACCATGTCAACGCTGTACAGTAACAAGACAGAAGGACAATTACATTACAAAGCAAAAAAACACAACATTTCATTTAAACCCCCACCCTCTACCAGGGTAATGGCTAACACAAAATACAAAAACCCCACAGCGTTTTAAGATTGGGGTGGGATGGTGACCATGGTCAGCTACATTTCGGTCATTACTGACAGGATGATGGAAGTGGTCACCTCCTGGAACCCCCGACAGGGCACTGGCTGGGATAACTTCCCAGTAACACAATTATTATGATATACATACAGTTCTTAACCCTTTATGATTTATCTCTTCCTCTACCCAACCCTCCTGCTGGATAGCCTTTCTACTCTGTACCATGCTTCAGCAGTACGCAATAAATCATTATCTGTAAGCTTGCCTTTCTTCTCTGTCAGTAATCTACGCCAGCTTTCTGGCTGTAATCTACCACATGAAGGCACAGCAATTTTACACACTTTAGCAATCTTTGCAACATTTTTAACCAGTTCTTCACCTTCTCTATCTTCAACTAAATCACACGCGAGCCAGCCCCTAGCGGGCTTACTCGTTTCCTGTCCCATATCCCCCTATACAAAGCGTATAAAAACATATACAAAGTATAGGTAAAGGAAAATGAAACAGAACGTCTACAATGCTCGACTGCCACTAGGAAGGGTGGGTCCCTCCCAGTGCGTCTTCCCAAAACGTAGACCAGTCACTGAATCCGTGTACCCTCGATGGTAACCACGGATTGGAGCGGGGTGAGAAGTGTGTGACCAATCACTTCTCTTTCAAGAGAAATAGGAGTGGATAGTGTAAATAGTACAGGAAGTAGAGGAAAAGTAAACAGTGAAAGTAGAGACAGACCCAGGAGTTTGAATGACTCCACACTTAAGACAACATTTAATACAACATTTCAATTGAAATACAGTGCATGCATCAACAGTAATCCCTTTCCTTTACTCTTGTGGCCACCAAGACCACCTCCCTCAATCTCGTAGTGTCCCCGCTCGGAGAACAACTTTCGTAAGTTTCACTACCAGCGGCCAAGGATAACGACTAACACCGGCCCGAAATCCATATGCCTCCCTCGTTACAGCAGTCCACTAAGTGTGGCCACCTCTATCCTCACTCCCGTAGTGCTCCCTATGGACCCACCCACAAGTCACACTACCCCGTGGTGATGGAGACAACAATGCCTGCCCGAATCCACACACCACAAATAAATTGGAATGCCACCAGCCTCAGCGCTCGAAGCTGGAGGGTACCATAACCTCTGCAAGCAGAGCAACGTACACAATGAGGCTAGCTAGAATATCAAAGTGACGTAACCGGGAAACCCCAGGAGGCAAGTCCCCTCCACAGAATCCCCCAACCCTTCTTTTTCCTTACTACTGTTAGCTAGACAGTACCTAAAAGAAGTAAACAGGAAAACAGGACCCCTTTGGAAAATCCCCACAGGTCCACCCCCCCTTTTTTCCCAACAGTCTGGGCCAAGTGACTCCTAAAAAGGGGTAAAAACAGGCAACAGAAGACCCCCAGGCAACCACCCACGGGTCCACCCCCCTTTATCTCTAAAGAGGGAAAGAACAAAACATATACCACTAGCACACCCAGGCAACAGATAGACTAAATGCAGGTAAACAAATGGGTAACAAGACACCGGGCAAGATATTACCTGTCTTTGATGCCCTCCCGGGAAGCAGTCACAGACACGTGGACGGGTCAATCAAAGGGGCTGGAACATACCGGTGGCTCCTGCAGAAGTCTCTACCGTGTACTCAGAGGTGATCAGTCTCTCTTCCTTCCCCCCTGATTCCTCCGTCCAACAGCGTCTTCCTTAGGACGGCTTACCGGCGGAGGCCATAGCCCGATGCCCCACGTTGGATGGACGCCAGATTGATGTAGATTAATTTAGAAATAAACAAAAATGTTTAAAAGTCTATCTGTTCCTGTCCAAATCTGAGATGAATAAATTGCGTATACGCAGAAGTAAGTTCACACTGACACATGCAGTTCAGGTTAAAAACACTTCAGGAAATTTATTAGCATCTAGTTAAAAAGTGGGCACGCAGGCCTTTTTATATGCAAAATGACATCATCATTGAATATCAGATAATAACAAATAAACATCATTAATTGGGTTAAATGTTAAGTGGCTATGTCAGTGTCCACCCATTAATATTATTAATTGGCTCAGAGATTTGAGTGACTAGTGAGGCACCCTCCCATCATGGGATGTCGTCGCCATTGCTCTTTAGCACGAGGCTTACTCGGTGGAAAGGGGGGCTTGGGCGTCATTTTACGTAGTTAGTGATGTCAGTCTCGTGGTCTGTTCCAAGGTTCTTTTATGAATAGAACATTTCATTTTGTCACTGTTCTCCTGGCCTTGGATTATACTATGTTGCAAGTCAACGGAGATCCGCTAACTCCGGGGCTAGTTATGTCCTTAGAGAGAGAGAATACAATCTCTTATTCATTATACTGAATACTGTCAGGAAATTCTGTCATGTAAGGTGAACAAAATGGAGTTAGTACAATAATTCAATACAGGTTCTAATAAAGATTTTAATAATTCTACATCAGGAGTGTCGTGCATTTAATCACTGTTCTTATTGGTCTGTGTCTTTGTGTTGGAGTCCCCAACAAGGTCCATGTGGGAGTACCCCTTGGTCTTTGAGTCCTCGGTGAGCACTAGGAGCATCGATTGACGGGGCACGCAGTCCGTCACAAGACTATATACTTCTGCCTGCTAGTAAGAAGGGGACAGTCCTTAGAAAGCATGTGTCATGATCTTGTGCAGGTAAGGGATGAGACTGAAACTGGGGTTAACGTCAGGGTCTTTATTTGTGATGTTAGACATTATAGTAAGAACAGGATATCCTATAATAAAAATTATAGGAATGGGAGAGAGAGAAAACCGAACAAATAACAGATGGACAATAAGCCCAAAGTGGAAGTTAGGTAAACCTATAAATGAAGTTATAGGTAGGAGATTGAAGATAAACCAATAAGAGAAATTAGAGGGATGAATCTTGAGGGAAAACAGAAAACAGAATTTAGCAATATGCCCCAGAACAGGATATAAAGAAACAGGGAAACATATAAGAGAGAAAGATAAAGCAAGAGAATGAAAACCTTATAATGAGATAATACCTTACAGGAAATAAACAGAACTATAAAGATTACGTTATAAAGGGTTTATAGTTGTTCAGTCTCTTTGGATTAGAGCTTGTTTAGTAGTTACAGGTCTTTTATGATAGATGCCAATATAATTTGGAATATTTGTAAATCCAGTGTAGGAGTAACGTAGGTAGCCACAAAGTAATAATACATTAAAGTCCAGCAAAGAATTAACCAAGTTGGATGTCAATCATAAATATGGGGTTGTTCAGGCTGGTATGGTGCAGGTTTGTAGATAAAGCAGGGATGTAGGGTTGTTCAGCCAAGTCTTGAGTAGGTTGGTGAGTAAAGCAGGTTTTGAAGCCAATAAGGTAAGTCCACAGGTTATAACACGGGAGCCAGGATTCGAAGTCTTGCAGGCAAATCATCAACTTCAATGTCAAGGCCATGAGGTGAGTTGGGTGTAGCTTTATATAGGATCTGAATTAGTCCAGACAGGTGAGGTGCAAATCTTTGTGCTAGTGGTTAGGGAGGCCACTAGTGGCAAATAAAATCAGTGTAGGAACTTGTTTTTTAAAGGAACAGAATAACGAGAGCAAAAAGTCTTGTTTGTCTGGATAGGATCCTGACAGCGTGGAGCGTGCTCACCATTAGACACATTTATGCCAAGCTCAGGGTGTCGCGTAGTTTGCCCTTAGTTGCCACTCTGCATGATTGGTAGGCAGCCTAACATGCATTCATGCCAGGCTGGCCTTCCAGTTCTTCGTGTGGACACACCCCTCTGGGTAGTTCTGGTTACGTGATTTGCGTCAATGGCCCACCCTTTAACCCCGCCCACTGAAATCCTGCATAACCAGACACTGTTGTTAGGGGGTATGAATTTACTTGAAAGATGAAAGCGAGAGATTAGCATAAGGTATTTGTTTTCTGATAGCTATATCCTGTGAGTTTCCCTCCAGCACCACCTCCAACAGATACATGATGCTTGGGAGGTATAACTATTTTAGTGTTTTCTGTCGATAAGATTTTTTAATTAGGCCCATCATAATTGTCAGCACCAGGCCCAATGTGCTCTTAATCTGGCCCTGGTTGGAATTTGGCGATTGGCGAGGAAGAACCAATGAATACAGAGAAAGGATAATTACAGAGGGATATAAGGACATTGTATTAATTCATTCTATGTATCCAGCCTGTACTGAATGGTCCCTGAGGATGTCCTACACAGGACAAAACATTAAGGACTTTTAGAACTACACCCGTTGTTTTTAACTTTTCTGTACGTTAATAAACCTTTTATTAAATCTATTACAGATGCTTCTCACTTACCGACCAGGTTCTGTTCTTACGACTCGGTCGCAAAACAAATTTCCCCGAACATAGATTAGAGGGTTTACCTCTCTGGTCCGTATGTCTACGTTCAGGGAAATTTCCCCCGAACATAGACAAGCGTAGCAGAGCAGGGAATCCCTCAAATCTATGTTTGGGGAATGTTCCCCGAACATAGATTAGAGGTAATCCCTGCTCTGGTGCGTTTTTATATGTTCAGGGAAATTTTCTCGAACGTAGACATACACATCAGAGCAGGGAATCCCTGTAATCTATGTTTGGGGAAAATTCACCCAACATAGACCAGCTCTCTAACGTGGGGAATCCCTTGAATCCCCACGCTAGAGAGCTGGTTGTAAGTGCGAGCCGTCAAAAAACAGGTAGGTCGCAAAGTGAGGACCCTCTGTATTTACTTGTATTACATTTTGATATCATTTTTTTCTCTCCTAAGTCATGGTCTATCAACGTTGGAAGTGACTATTGGCTCTGGATATTTGAAGATTTACCTTTCCACTGAGAAATCTTTTAGAAGACACAATTTGGCATATAAAGTACTTTCACAACTTTTTATATATTTCAATCAGTGCCTGTCAGGAGAAATTCTTATAATCTCATTCTACCACTGATCATCCATTTGTGGTCTCAGTGTCCAGAAAAATACCCAAACATATAACAAATCACTGAGTGGCAGCAAAAGGCATTTAGCAGAATGCGCGATAACAGCCCCCCAGAGTTTTTACATATTTAATTAGACTCAGAGGATTCATTATTGTAACAATTTCATTTAATGATGCCAAGAAGTTGCAATGTTCCCCCACGAGACTGCAAAAAAAGTATCTAAATTGCCAAACAAACATTATCAAAACAAAAACACTCAATGAGGAGGGGGACTTTAAATGTGGACGTCTGAGTAAATGATGCTAACCCAACGGTATAAAAACACGTCTCTCAACAATTCAGCATTTGCTATCACCGGAGAATACGCACAAGGTGGGTTTCAATATTGTACTTTATAATTAATCTATTGTGACATATTATATTCATTTACATTCTCCAAACTTATAAAATATATTATTTACTATATTCTGTATATATACCATACTCTCTCCATTAATATCAAATGTTGTATCTTATCAATTATACACAGTTTTTAAAAACATGTATTCCTTTATATGTATTTTTACATACAACACATTCCTTTTATATTCACTTATTTATATTATCTAATTTTTATCTCTTTTATTAAAAAAATTGTAAATATTGATATAAAAAAATATAGAAATAACAACACATAATCCTAATGTAATTGTAGTGTTAAACCAGGCATATTAAGATACTGTTTACAAATGTACATAACACTAGGCATTATAATGACAAATTACAGAAAAGTTGTGTAAAAAAACTTTATAATACTTTTATCTTACTTTTAAATATTTCTGTAAATTGTAGACTCATGTGAATGCAGGTGAAATTATATTTGTAGGTTTATAAAACCCCATACTACAAACATTACAGTAAAAGCTGTTGCAGATTTATATTCCAAGCAAATTATCACCTGATCGCAAGAGATAAATTAGAAAAAAATCCATTATTGTATTGGATTAAGATTATTTTGCTATTTGCATCTAGGTTTAGAAAGTCCAATGTCAACGCTGTATAAATCATTGTTTAACTAATACACCCAGCAGTTACAGGTTAATCACTGGGGATATTCTTTTTAATTATTATTTTTTTTTTTAAACAAAGGCATTTTTGTAATTTGTTTATTTTGCTTAGTACCTGTATATCTGTCATGTTTAAACACAGCATTAAATGTTTTTCCTGATAAACTCCCACAGCTTAATCTTTTCAGCTAATCTGAACAAGAACTATAAGTGGAAAAGAAGTCATAAGGGCTCCAATGATTGACCTTTTCTTAGGAGAAGATTTACTTGGAAGATCAACTGAAAACAAACTAAAATGAAAACTAGATTAGCATCGGTAGCTATACTGACTGCTCATAAATAACATAAATAACTTGATATAGCTCCAGGTCCAAAATCCCACTCTGTGACCCCACTGTCTGTCATTCTGACTTCATTGCTGTAAGTAAATGGTGATATAGAGGTGCGTGAAGCGTAACCTGCTAACTCTCTGTTTCTGCCCAGCTGCTGGATCAGTAGGCGCCGGTAAGGGCTGACTAACAGGAGGGGGCAGGAAAAGGTTACCAGGTGGGTGTCATGGGGTCTCACAAAGCTGTCTTGCATTGTAATTAGCAGTAGTGCCCAGAGCCAAGTTGTGAGGTTGGAGACATCAGGTCAAAATTGGTAGAATAAATAAACCTACTGAAAACAATGAACACATATAAACTCATACCTGTGAAAACAAAGATACATCGCACCCAACCTAAATTTGTGCTTTTATACACAAACAAGCCACTGAAGTATTCCAATTGTAAAAACCTCAGAATAAAAACAGAATAAAACAGGTAATATGTGAAACAGTATAACAGTGTGAAGATAATTTACTTTATTTAAAAGTGTGGAGGTAATGTATTTGGCTTATATTAATAATCACACTCACATTTTTATTAGGAATCACACTCACGTTTACCAGAGCTAGCTCAGAGCTCTGCTTACTTACACCATGGCTGATGCTAGTACTTTATCTTCCCACATACTCTGCACCTCATCTGGAGATTTGTTATCTGGAACAGCATACATCCTGAGATGGGGATAATACAGTCCATGCAGATAACAGCAGAGCTCTGATTTAGCTCGGGTAAATGTGAGTGTGATTCCTAATAAAAATGTGAGTGTGATTCTTAATATAAGCCAAATACATTACCTCCACATTTTTATACTGTATTGCACTTTTAGCTGTTTTATTCTGTTTTGTATTCTGAGGTCTTTACAAATGGAATACTTCAGTGGCCTATGTATGTAAAAAGCACACATTGAGGTTGGGCACAGTGTATCTTTGTTTTCACTAATTTTTTGGAATCTTTGTACTATTTCACTGCTTTCCATAGTTCTATCCGCTATTTACATTATAGAGAGCACCTAATACATTTTCTCTTTTTGTTAACAAACCCATATCTGACTGTTTTTATACTTGCAGATATAATAAAGGCAAAAGTACTTAGCTCACTGATTGTCTGCAAAAATCATGTCATGGAGAAGGTGAATCAATCTAATTTCCGTGATTTTCTGCTTCAAGGATTTTCTGATCTCGAGCAATTTAGAATTCATTTGTTTTTCATTTTTCTCACTATATATCTCTTTACAATCATTGAAAACTTGGTTATCGTCTTAGTAGTGCGCTTCAACGCAACTCTCCACACACCCATGTACTTCTTCATTACTGTATTGTCATTCCTGGAGATGTGGTATGTAACTACAACTGTTCCCAAGCTTTTGTCCATCTTGGTGACCAATGACAAAAGGATCTCGTTCCGGTGGTGTTTTGCTCAACTGTACATGTTCCATTCCTTAGGCATCACAGAATGCTCCATGTTGGCTGTCATGGCGTTTGACCGCTGTATGGCTATATATATTCCTCTTCGCTATAACACTATCATGACTGGTCGGGTATGTAAACTGCTAGTTTTATTCAGCTGGTCCTACGGATTTCTTGTTGCCATCATGCCAGTGACATTTACCATAAGAGCTCCATACTGTGGGCCACATGACATAATGTATTACTTCTGTGACCTAGCACCACTGACGAGCATTGCATGTGGTGACACAACACCTATTAATACTGCAAATCAGCTTGTCAGTGCAGCTGCCACCTTTTTTATTCTTATGTTTGTTATAGTCATGTATTTAATAATTATATATTCAATTATAAAGATAAAGACAAACAAGGGTCGAAGTAAAGCCTTCTCCACCTGCTCTTCCCACCTCGTTGTGGTGGTGCTGTTCTATAGCACTGCGTTTATTGTGTACATCGTTCCAAAAAATGCACATTCTGTGGAACACGATAAGATTTATGCCATAATTTATACAATGTTAACACCTTTACTCAATCCCATCATTTATTGTCTCCGGAACAACAATGTAAAGGAGGCAATGAAACAAAGCATTCATAAAATTCAGGAACATATCAAAGGAACATAGTTTGAAGGTCTAGAATCTACTGTAGATCTCTGTACTTAGACAATAACAATAACATTAAGACCCTGCTACTTCTCATTTTCAATCGATACATCTTGTTTATATAGATTAAATGTGTGCATACTGTTTTCGCTTATACAATTATAGCATCAATACAAATTAAGAGAGAAATTATATATATATACATTGTGACGGAGTGTTGGGGATGGTGGTCAGGGGTGTATATCCGGCACCTAGACTTTTGTGCAGCAACTATCCTGACATGTGGGTAAGCACATGCAGCCCCAGGGAAAGTTAAGTTTAAATGTAGGTTTTTATTCCCTGGGGTGGAGTATTCGGAAGAGCAGGTTGGGCCGATTCTCCACCCACTGTCAGAGTGGTTGTGCATGAGTCCAGCCCAGGTTTTCTGAGGAGTTCTGGCTCACTGCCTAAAGAGGTCATTAGCCTCACTTGTAGGGGCTGTGAGCAGCTATATAACTGCAGTTAAAGCAGGGTGGAGTGAGGGAAGTGTTTTGGAGGAGAAAGAAGGTTTGTTGCTTGTTGTATCCTGTTGTATCCTGTTGTATCGTGCTACTTCTTAACAACAGAAAATAAACAGGCCTGAGGCCTTTGTAACTGGACTCTGTTTTGACATGGCTTCCTTAAACTAGAGGGCTCTGCAGTTGCCAAAAAGATCCTGGACAAACACACACCGGGAAGTAAGTTTGTCACAGTATGTATGTGTGTTTTTCTGTATGTGTGTGTCTGTGTGTGTCTCTGTATATGTGCGTGTGTGTGTCTATGTGTGTCTGTATGTTTATCTGTTTTTCTGCATGTGTGGGGGGCAAAGTATTAGAGGGGGAGGGTAGACAAATGGGTGAGTGGTGAAGTGTAGACGTTTGGGGTACCCCAGGGCAGTTTTCTGGTTCTATCCAAGAACAAGAATTTTCATCTAGGCTGATTTCTTTGAGTTTGAACACTAATATATTGTGTGGAACTGTATCAAACGCCTTGATAAAATTCAAATAGATCTCATCCACTGCAACACCCTGATCTATACTTCTACTTACTTCTTCGTAAAATGCAATTAGGTTAGTTTGACATGACCTGTGTTTCATAAAACTGTGCTGATTTTTGCTGATAACCAAGTTCTTCTCAAGGAATTCCTGAATAGTATCCCTTAATAACCTTTCAAATACTTTCCCAGCCACATAAGTTAAACTCATCATTTCCAGGAAAGGATTTTGAACCCTTTTTGAAAATAGGAACCACATCTGCCTTAATCCAATCCTCCGGAACACTTCCTCAAAAGAAAAGAATCTTGAAAGCTTAAAAATAGAGGTTCCCTTTGTGGCTAGCCACCTGGCACCCCGACTGGGTACCTCCACCAATCACGCTTCCTAGTATCACGAGTACTATAAGCACCGCACCACACACCATAACCACCGCACCTCCCCCCCTTAGCCTCCACAGCCTGGCTGGGGTCTCGCCATGCATGCCCACCCTGTACCAACACCTGGAATCCAGCTCCCAGTGAATAGATCTCTCCTCCAGGAGAGTATAATGATCCAAAGAGCAGTATAGCAATTCCCCCCCACAAATGAGCCAAGGCTTAATGCTGGAAGTAGTCTGTTTAATGCAGGCCAGCACTCACAATTTATACAAACATTTTTTTAAACCCCCAACAGCCTCATTTACATACAATAGGGTGCATAGAGCACTACAGTATAAGGAAGGGTGAGGTCAGACAATAGCAAGGGCTGATGGGAGATTGAGGAGGGACAAAGCAGCCAGTTTAAACTGGTCTGGCAGTGTCCCTGGGACAACGCCCTGCTGGGGAAACAATAAGACAGGAAAAAGGGGGAGGGGGAGAGGCACAGACAAGCAATACATTTAACATACTCCTCCCTGTGCCTGAGAGATAATTGAGTCAGGAACAATAAACATCGGCCCTTATATTAATGAAGTGTCAGCATTTCTAAGAATTTTTCTGGAAGTTAAGAAATCCTGTGGTTTGCCAGATAAGGCTGAATATTTCTGACTTAAAGTCATAAAAAAAAATGCCAAATTCACCCCCACACACAGTCACCCCCAAATCATTCTCACACAGTCACCCCAACTCATCCCAAAAACAATCATCCACACACATAAACCCCCAACTCACCCCAAAAACAATCACCCACACACATAAACCCCCATCGCACTCCCACCCCAAACTCACACCCACACAAACAAACCCCCAACTCACCCCCAATACAATCACCTCCTCATCTCACCCCCCAAGGAGTCAACCCAATTCACCCCACTCACATTCACACCCTAAAGTCACTACAGTTAGTGTCCAATTATTCGTAGAAATGCAGTCAGCGCCCCAACTGAAATATCCATATACTAATTCTCCTGTATAGGAGTTTAATCTCCATGGACCTGTAAACAATAAAATATAGAGAAGACATATCAGAACTAAAACCCACCTCCAATGGAAATCTACTCACATGGGCCAGAGCCACCAAGGCAACATTGCACTTTATCTCGTGGTTGTGAATTTGGGATTGTTTAAGCACCTTCTGTGCATTTGTTTTATTGTAGTCCCCCAACTCATCGCAGCATTCACCTTGCCAAACTCACAGTGTCCCTCTCACTCACAGTGTCCCCCACGCTCACCCCCTCAAACTCACCCTGCCGCACTCATTCTATTACACTCAGCCCACACACACAGTGTCCCCCTCACTCACCTCCTCAAACTCACCCTGCTGCACTCATTCTATCACATTCAGCTCACACACACAGTGTCCCCTACACTCACCCCCTCAAACTCACCCTGTCATACTCACACACAATGTCCCCCACACTCATCCTGTCAAAATCACCCTGCCACACTCACACAGTGTCCCCACACTCACCCCCTCAAACTCACCCACACTCACACAGTGTCCCCCAACACTCACCCCCTCAAAATCACCCCTGCCACACTCCCACAGTGTCCCCCACACTCATCCCCTCAAACTCACCCACACTCACCCCTCAAACTCACCCTGTCACACTCACAGTGTCCCCCATACCCACCCCCTCAAACTCACCCTGTCACACTCACAGTGTCCCCCACACTCACCCCCTCAAACTCACCCTGCCACACTCACAGTGTCCCCCATACTCACCCCCCTCAAACTCACCCTGATGCATTCAGTGTCCCACACACTCACCCCCTCAAACTCACCCTGCCAAACTCACACAGTGTCTCCTATATTCTTCCTCTCAAACTCACCCTGCCACACTCAGTGTCCCTCATACTCACCAACCCAAACTCACCCTGTCATACTCACCCAATTACACTCACCCTGCCACACTCAGCCCACACATAGTGTCCTCCTTAATATGAGAATATATAGAATATCATATGTTAGAGGATTAGAGAATATGTTGGGAAAAGACAATTTTACTTCTTGAGAAATGTTATTTATTTATAACACTGTTCTTATCGTAACTTTATTATTTGGTAAATAATTTTTGATGTTTTTTTCTGCCCATCCAATATAATGCGGCTGTCTGATTTCACTTAGCATTGGTGGAAGGTTTAGTGGAAGGAGCCCAAAGTGCAGCAGGAAGCTGAAATAGAACTCCTAAATGGAGGTACAGATTGTAGCGGATGGCCCTGGGCTGCCCTGGAAATTTCATGTATTTTAATGCATTCGTGTGAAAACAACAAAGTTCTATGTATCTAATGTATTGTATTCGTCTGAATGTTAGGTAGTTTCATTCCCTTAGTTTGTTCGAATTAAACTACCGAACAGTCAGACCTCCCCTGTGTGAAGTGTGTCCTCAATTACCCGTTGCAACATTGTTGCGAACGGGTAATTGACAAGCTAAGTAGTCGTCCTTTGTTCTCGGTGGTGGCCGCCTTTCGAAAAACGAACACGTGGCGGCGGCCATTTTAAGACTCCCGAACAGCAGCGTTTTGCCGTCGAGTGTCTGGAACTCAAATCGGACACTCGACTAGGCGAACACCACTGAAACCTCCACAAGCCCGGTCCGTTCGGTTCCTAACTACCGAACGGCCCCTCGTTCGTTAGATAGAAAGAACCGAACGAGGGGATTCAGGCGAACCCTCCCTAACCTCTGTAGCTAGAGGTTTTCGTGCCATTTATTCCCTGACTCCAGGACCGACAGCAGGGCCCATTCACATGGAACCGCATTCGGCTGTTTCACCCGGTGCGGTTGGTCATTTTATTCCCTCCATAAATTTCCCGAACCCCTGGTCTGATCTGGGTGATTTTTGGCTATGTTGTTCACCCAGATCAGGGCTACCAGGGGATGTAGGATTTAAAGTGGTACCCCTAAGTTTAGGGGTACATCCAGAAACAGTGGGAATTGGTGTGCTGGATAAGGGGATTATGTGACAAAGTGCCCTTCGCCACTTGTGCCTAGAGAGGACTGCTTGCCCGCCTCTTGCCCTGTGACTATGGACCCTGGGAGATTTGGCCCGTTCAATTCAGTATGATAGGAGTTATGTATTTTTGTATCCTTTTGTGTTTTACCTGGAACATGTGCTCAGTGGAGTCTGCTTCTATCCCTGGATAATTGGATTACTTTCCCCATTGTCTCCAGGCTAGAGGGCTCTGTAAAACCAGTTTGGGCCAGATATCCATGCTGCCAGCCAGGCCCCAAAAGATACTTTACTAACTTCTGAACCCCTGGTCTGATTCATGCCATTTTTTGATATGTTGTTTCCCTGAATGGATTGATTGGGAATATATAATTTTTATGTGAATGTGATGTATATTTTAGAATTTATGAATGCTGTAAAAACTGTATTATTTCTGGCCAGCAGATAATTGAGCTTTGTGTATTGTAGAAACTCAATTATCTAGCCTGGCCCAGAGGAGGATATTTGTGTTGCATAAATTGTGAGTTCTGTGTGCCAGTAAATCAGTCTTGTTCCAGCATTAAGCCTTGGCTCATGTTTGGGGGATTGCTATAATCACTATACTCCCCAGGGTATGATCACTAAGTTCTGCTAAGAGCTTGTTCCTGTTCCTGCTCTCTGGGGAAAGAAAGGTTCACCCACTGGAAGCTGGATCCTGGCCTTGGGTCCAGGGTGGGTGGAGACAGCAGAGACCCCAGCGCAGTTGCATCGCTGGAAGTCGCAGTTGCATCGCTGGAATTGGGGTCTGCAGTGCTGATGGTATCGGTTGGAGTGCTTGGAGTCCTCAGCGAGCACTAGGAGCATCGATTGGCGGAGGTACTCAGTTGGAGTGCCAGCGGTCCGTCACAGATTATGATGCAGGCTGAGGGGAGGAGATGTGTGGGAGGTTACCAGAACAGGATTGGCTACTGTACTAATGAATGAAAATTCCTCCCTTGCATGGGAGCAGGCTTTAAAAGGCCACTGTCTGAATAAAGCTTTAGTTATGCTCCTGAAACTGTGTGTCGTCCAGTTATTGGGATTGCTGTTGGGATACTGCTGTTATTTTGCCTGCTGGATACTTTACCCTATGGATTTATAATTGCTTGTTCCTGAACCTCCCTGGGATTCAAAGTGGAGATAGGCTGTGTAATACCAGCTCTCCGCTACACAGATAGGGACGGGGGAAAGACCTGGTCAGATTAGCCACCGTTTTGTTTCAAACAGTCAGAGGTTCAAATACGAGGAATCAATGATACAGAATAAGTACTGACATGAACACCACAATGAGCACAGTATAACTGAGCAAAGAGGATTAGGAGCCAGGCTGTTATATAGGGGAGACCCCACCACCACCACACCATCCCTGAGTACTGAACACACCTGTGGTAAGATAACACAGTTTTGGTGCACGCTGTAACTCAGCCCACCAGACATGCTTTCTCGAACAGTTTTGCAGGCCATAAATACACTTTGGATGCATGGGACAAGGCTTCCTTCCAACCTGTGGCAACAAACAGGCTGACACACTTCATGGACGTGCGTACGTACAACCTCCACTCTAGGGAAGAGGGAGACATGGTGAGGGAGCGTGAGGTAAATCTGAGGGTTAGTGGGGACAATCAGAGACCCTTCAATATAGGTGATTAATTAAATATTGTGTTTGTTAATATATTTCACAAGAATCTCAACAATTTCATTATATTTTTTGTTAAATATGCTGAATACCGCAAAAAATGTGTATTGCATCAGATGTTAATGATTTATACGACACCCTTAGAATATAAAATAAAAGCAGGGTGGGACAGATTATGGGGTGTTCCGTTATTCAATTGGTTCACCCCTTACCATTAAAACCATATTTTAACCAGTGTTTCGGCAGTAATTCACAGATAGTGACTGACTGGGGGCTGATAATATAAAGGTGAGATTTTTATTGCAGTATCAGTGGAGGTAATTATTTGTAATGTTATCAGGAAATAGATCTACATGTACATTTGTTTCTCGTGTTATATCATTCATCATACAGTGTCATAAAACAAGCTGATATTATTGAAGAGCTGGTATTATTGAAGAGCTGGTGTTATTGAATTATCTGGTATTATTTACTGAACACAGAACTGAGGGAAAATGAAATCAAATTGCAAACTTTAGGTATAAAGTGATAAATTGGAAAAATTTCAAACTCAGCCACAGTCACAGATTGCCTTTTGGGCAACGTTTTTGTTACAATTCTATAATCAGAGAATAAACCTTCGATATTTCACAGCTGTTCCATGATATCAAGGGTCGGTCATGGTAATCTCTTGATTTACAAAATGTGATTCCAATGGCCGCATTCACATCCAGATAAACCAATATTTAGATAGAGCTGATTGTCCTTCCTTGTGGGGCTCGTCAGCAAGGTGATTGTTTTGGTTGGTGTCTTTGAAAGATAAGCAGAGTTAAAGCTGCATTGAAATGAAAAAGGTCTTAAAAACACCTGTACTATATCCAGACATCCCAAGTCTCCCAGTAGTTCCAGGAGACTCCCTCATTTTGCATGGGGCTCCCTGACACCCTCATATCATGTATAATATCCCGGAAATCCCAGCAGAACTACCGCGGTTACAGGGGTCGCAGCTGAGATGATGTCAGTCAAGCAGGCAGATCAGGGGCAGAGCCAGCAGTTGCAGACACACACACACACACACGTTAAAATTATATTAAATGCACTTAAAGGATGTATATAAATCTGCAGGATTATTCACAGGGAGTCTTGTTCCATCTAATTTGCATGAGAAACTATCCTGATGTATCTATTAAAATGTTACTAAATTGCTTGTAGAGAAATAGTAATTAGCAGCTCCATCTTCATAGATCAGCCACTAGATGATAGTATTGGGCAGTGTTCTGCAACCTTTTAACACCCGAAGCCCGGCAAAAAGAGGATAAATATTTAGTGGTCCTGCTGTTAGGGACCAGGAACCAGACAGAGACAGAACTAGATGCAAAAACACCTTTATTAATAAATAGAAAATAAAGTAATAACCAAAAGCAAAGTCCAGGAGGAAAGCAGGAGTCAGTCACCAGAGCGGGTAGTCAGACGAGCCAGGATCATGAGAACAGAGAGCAGCGGAGTCAGGAACAAGGCCAGAGTCAGGAACCAGGAACACACAGGAACACACAGGAACAAACAGGAACACACGGGAACAAGGAGACTACTGGGGAACAGGAAACCACACAAGGGCAAGGAGTTACTGGGCTTTGCTGCTGCTTAAATTACCTGATTAGCAGCAGGGCTGGTTACTACAATCAGGTGAGTAACCGTGGCAACATACTGAAGGAGCTGATCGTTAATCTCAGCTGAAAAACACACTGAAAAAGGAAGGGTGGCTGTTTAAAACAGCAAAGAAACCCTGACACCGGTATCAGCCAGAAATAATAACAAATGGTATGTGTGAGGGATGCAGTGTGTGTGGGGGGTGCCGTTTGTGTGGGGGCAGTGTGTGTGAGGGGCAGTGTGTGTGGGGGGCAGTGTGAGGGGGCAGTGTGTGTGTATGTGTGTGTGTGTGTATGTGGGGCAGTGTGTGTGTGTATAGGGCAGTGTGTGGGGGCACGTGTCTGTGTGTTGAGAAGTGTGTGGGCAGTGTGTGTATGGGGGACAGTGTGTGTGTATCGGGGGTGTTTGTTTGTATGGGGGGGCAGTGTGTGTATAGGGGAGAATGCTTGTGGGTCTGTGGGATTAGAGGGTACTTTTAACACTTTGAGTGCCATGGTGTGTGCAATACATTGTTATACACATTTAGCATCTAAAGGGTTAATTAATGTACACTGTCTCTTGTGTATATTATTTCTGGCCTAATTCAAACCCCTTGAACCTTACGGTTAAGACGCATTGCTTGCCCAGTTGGATAAGTAAATCATACTGGGATGTGGGATGTATAGACTGATGATTAACATGGTCTCGTGGGAAACAATAACACATTAGGAATATATTGTATTATGATTCATCATTATTACCATTATTACTGTTTTCATAGTATTACTGTTTGTTACATGTCCTGTCCTAACAAATATCCCCACGTGCTGTGAGAAGGTTCCTTTCAATAATTCTTATTGTCAGTTTAGTTACAAGCTGGAGGTCCATTCGTATATTGTCTGCAAACAAACAGCTTTGCCTTTCCAACATCTGCTCTCAGTTCTTACACAAATGGCAACTTTATACCAACGAAACCAACTCTTAAATAGCCACATGAAGAAAAAGAATGCACCGTGTGATCATTTGGGACTACACAACACGTCGTTATTATAGGCCAATATATACTTCACATGGTCAATGCTGTACACAGGGCTCCAGTCTTGCTATTTTATTTTTTGAGGGGGAGGGAGGGGGGGATCTTGGTTAAGTTCCCACACTTTTTTCCCCAGGCCCCTGGTCTGACTACTCTTTTCTCTTGTAAGTGTGGGTGCCACTTGGTGTCTCTGTGCTATTTACTTAAAGAGCGTGTTTGGGCACTGTTTGAAGGGCACAGTGTCACATTAAGAAATTTGTTGTACTCAGACTGTCACCGCTTCCTGTCTTTCACTCAGATTATTCTCAACCGGAAAATAAAAACTCTGTCATGAATGAAACCTTCTCTGCACATTATAACAGCTACACTAATGCATCCGTCTCTCTATCTAAAGGGCCTTTCCTTACCGTTCACCCATCGTATTGTTACGATCTGGAATTAAAACGGATTTATTGGGAAACTATTGTAAATATGAATTATTGAATAAGAAGTCGGAGCCAGCAAAATAGGGATATTTACAAGTGATTCTTATAAATAAAAATATAAGGAAGAACTTCCTAGCCAAAACAGCTGAACATTTCAAACAAATCTCCAATTCAACTACTTTGGCCAATCATTTTCATATTTCTGATTATTTCCTTGCAATTCCTGATTTTGGGAATGACTTTATTTAAACTGTTTCTATATTCCCGACTAAGACATGTTTGTGTGGGTAGAGAGATGTTATATGATAATAAATAATAAAATGCTGTTTCCCTGGTAGAAGTCCTGACTCTTTAAACCCTTCCCTACCACGGACGTATCAGGAACGTCCAACAAAAAAACGGTCCTTAAGGACCTCAGACGTACCTGATACGTCCGCGGCTATTTTGAGTGCTGGAAGCAATCGTGATCGCTTCCAGCCGCTCTCATAGTATTGCAGCGATGCCTCAATGTTGAGGCATCGTGCAATACTGTTCATTTCTGCCGGGCACCCAGAGAGCGCCGGTTGATTGCTCCCTCCAGAGCGATCACTTCCAGGTTGCTCTACGTTAAGCAGAGCATCGGAAACCATCGTGCAAGCTTTCGATGCTCTACAAGTGCTGAGTGCCTCGAAGGGGTTGAGGCACTCAGTGAAGAAATATATATATATATATATAAATGTTAAAAATCAATAAAATAATAGATATTAACCCCCTCCCTCCCCAGCCATGTGGCTAGAAAGATGGTGCTGCCTTTCTAAAGGCAGTGCATCATGGGGCTTCTGGGGGTGTCCCTAGCCTGTATCATCATAGGGGCAGGCTAGGGTGATCCAACCAGAGCTTGCCCCAATAACAATTTTATTCTAACTATGATCCCCATTTGTCTGATCAGGTCAATATTAGTAAATATTGACTCTAACCAGTGTGGATCTCCCTCCCTCTCTTCACTTGTGCTTTAGCTAGAGAGATTTAGAGATTTAGGTACCATATTTTCCGGCGTATAAGACGACTGGGCGTATAAGACGACCCCCAACTTTTCCAGTTAAAATATAGAGTTTGGGATATACTCGCCGTATAAGACTACCCCTCTTCCAATGCACACCAAATAAAAATTAGCCATGATGTACAGTGAGCAGACAGAGCTACACAGCAAGACATTAAATAATAATGATAATAATTATAATTATTATTATTTGCCAATCATTACATTGGCTTCTTCTACCCTTTAAGACCCAATTCAGACTACTAACATCTACCTACAAAGCCCTCAAAAATTCCACTCTTCACTATATTTTTTCTTTACTAACAAATACACACCTTCTTATTCCCTTTGCTCTGCGAGCGACCATAATTTTTTCATCTGCTTGTTCCTGCAAGTTGTCTTATACCTCAGACCCTCCTCCTCTCTGACATTCTGTTATACCTCTTCTGTGTCTTTGTCTTTCCCCTTTTCTCAAAGACTATAAGCAGGCTGAAATATACTCCCCCACACCCCACATTCTTTTTACTTATTATATATTGGGAGCAAATGTATTCAAATCACAATTACCAATCTGTGCCACGGGGTGGCGCAATTGCTCTAGCAATCAGACTTCATATACTCATATGTTTTATTTCCTGTGTTCCGGGGATATCATGCTTTGTGGAAAAAAAGGCAAAGGCCCTTAGGGAGGGACACAAAGGGTGGTTATTGTTATGGAACCACAGGTGGCAATCAGTACCTAATATAATGAATACCAAAAATTATTTTATCTTTATTGCACACAATGTAACATAACCTAACATAAGTGTTTTAAAATAAATGATTTAGGGGGGCGGAACTAACAGCCGAAACGACTGGTCGCATCTTCTGAGAGCTCCGAGATTTAACTGAGAAAAAGCAAGAATAAAAAACTATTTTACCCTCTCAAAAGCAACCAAGACTGCCCCACTGCAGTGGACTACCAATGGGCAGGAAAAAACAAAAAGCCAAAACAAGAACTGCCCTGGCCGGGCACCAGCATAGGGGACTTATGGCGGCGAGCACATGGCGCCTCGGAACCCAACATGGATGCCTACCTCGACGACTTCAACGACTCCGATGAGCGACTCTCGGAGCATGAAGTCACACACTTACCCGTAACACAAGAGGCAGTGCAACCAAGAACGCAGCCGGACACGGCTCCGGTCACAAAGGCCGAAATGAGGGATCTGCTAGCAGAGCTCTGCCGGAATATCCAAGCGGATGTAGCCGACATGAGGAAAGACATACAGGGTCTAACAACCATGGGAACTTTGGAACAAGATTCCCTCAACCACTCGAGGACTGTAGCCAGGCTCCAGCAGGAGGTAAAAACGCTGCAACAGCAGCACCTGAGAGTGGAACAGAAAATGGCGGTACTGGAAGACTCACGCAGGGCCCAAAATATAAAGATTTGAGGCATAGCAGAGTCGGTCCCAGATTCAGAACTCCCTCACCTCATGATGCGCCTAATAGGTAACATACTCCAGCCGAAGCAAGCTAAAGGGGTAGGCCTGGATGGCATATTCAGAATCCCCAAACCGACAACGGCTCCTCTGGCGGCACCCAGGGACGTAATTGTTAAATTTCAAAAGCAGCAGGACAAAGCAGCTGTCATGACCGCCATTAGGGGAAAAAAACCATACCCCATTGAGGACATGGCCCTCTCACTATACACAGATTTATCCAGAGGAACTATTGCCTGGCGCTCAACCATGAGACCCTTCACCACCCTACTCCGCGCCCATAATCTTAAATATCAATGGCGCTCACCACACAAGCTCCAGGTGTTGCAGGGAGACAACACATACCTCATAGCGGACCTGCAGGAGGCGAAGACACAACTTGCTACCTTGGGCCTCCCACCAGACGCTCTGCAGCAACCAAACATCCCCTCCAGACCACATGTATGGAACCCAGCTAACTCTGAGACTTTCATCCCCAGGAGTTCACGGACAGTGGCCCGAACTGAGTGCCCTTAGCGGGCCGACTGAGCCGCACCACGCACACTGTTGTGGGACATATGTAAATAAGGTTTAAATATAAGGTTATGTTTTTGCCTACACTACCTGTCATAAAAGATGGTTTAAGGTAGCTGTTTCAAAGCAGTCATATGCCCTTGCGCTAGAGCCTGACGCGTCTGTCAGACTCTGACCCTGATTTTGACCCTGCCAGGTGCTCAGATACATCATCACTAGATACAGTGTCTGCTGCTAGTGATTTATCTACTGATGTTGTATCTGTGCCTGCTAGTCCCCCTGCCAGAAGGAGACGTGCTGCTCCAGCTGGCAGAACTGCTGAGGAGTGGGTAGTGCCTCATCACCAGAGGCCAGACATCCCATCCTTTACTGCAAATCCTGGCATTAATTTGGATGTCGCAGGATTTAGCCCTCAGCAGTTTGTGGAGGTGTTTCTGGGCGATGATGTATTGGGGAACATTGTTGCCCAAACTAATTGATATGCCGATCAGTTCCGTGCTTCTAAGCCTGAGTCTTTTTTGGCAAAGCAGCAATGGGCCCCCATCGATGTGCCAGAATTTAAAAGATTCTGGGTATTGACTATGCTGATGGGCATCATAAAGAAGCCCTCCATCCGCTCCTACTGGAGCAGTAGCCCCATCTGCTCTACCCCCATTTACTCCCAATGTATGTCGAGGAAGAGGTATGAAATGATTCTGCATTTCATGCACTTCAGCGACAACAGCCTGTGTCCCTCTAGGGAGCATCCCCAATTTGACAGGCTGTATAAAATCCGCCCCCTGATTACCCACTTTGCTGCCAGGTTTGCAGAGGCTTATACACCTGGAAGGAATATATGCGTGGATGAATCCCTGATGAATTATAAGGGACGGCTGGGATTCAAGCAGTATGTTCCTTCCAAGCGCTCTAGGTATGGTGTAACGATGTATAAGCTCTGTGATAGAGATACTGGGTATACTCAGGCCTTCCGGGTGTATGAGGGAAAGGATAGCCACCTTGACCCTCCAGGTTGCCCAGAACATATGGGAACCAGTGGCAATATTGTCTGCGACCTGATATTCCCCCGGATGAACAAAGGGTACCACTTGTATACTGACAATTTTTATACAAGTGTCCCTTTGTTCAAGCTACTGTACTGTTTTGATACATTAGCTTGCGGTACAGTCAAAAAGAACAGCACAGGTTTCCCAGGACAACTTGCACGCACCCGGCTACGAAGATGGCAGACCTCAGCTCTGCGCCAAGAGAAGCTGTTGGCAGTTAAGTACAGAGACAAGAAGGGTGTGAACCTTCTTACCACCATCCACACTGAGGGGACTGTGGAGGTCTCAGATCGTGGCAGAGCTGAGAGCACAAGGAAGCCAGTGTGCATCAAGGCCTATAACCGGCATATGGGTGGGGTTGATCTGGCAGATCAGCTGCTGCAGCCCTACGTAATTATATGCAAGACAAGGGCCTGGTACAAAAAGGTTGCAATCTACCTAATGCAGATTGCCAGCCACAACGCTTTTTTATTGTTCAAAAAAGCAAAGCCCTGGACGCAACTTAGTTTTTGAAAGTTTCAGCTCCACATCATTTTGGGGATTTTGAACAGTGATGCACCTGCTCCGCAGGCGGTGATGGGAGAGAGCAGAGTACGGGTTACACATTTTATTTTTAAAATTCCCCCTACTGCGGCGAAGCAGAATCCCAAAAAAAGATGCAGAGTCTGTTTTAAGAGGGGGCAGAGAAAAGATACTGTATATCACTGTCCTGCTTGCCCTGGACAGCCTAGAATCTGCATTGGGGACTCATTTTTTTTAATATTTGCCCTTCATTTTTTTTGTGTTTTTTTTAGCTACGTTTACCCTATGCATGGGGAGGCATGGGTGTACTAAGGAGGCCTTGCAGAAAACAACTTGGAGTGTTTTCTTGCAATAACCAACAACAGGCTCTCCTAAATCACAGTCAAAAAGCAATGTGTGCGTAAAAATGAAAATTGAACAATTACCACCACACACTTTCTCCAAGTTTTTGACTAAAACGATTGCATCAAAGGCATCAAAGCACTCCATATAAAATACGTGCATGCTCATGGCAAGAAAATAAATTGGGATATCTGAAAAGGCCCCAAAAAGATGATAGGCAAAGAAGATATGTAAAATTTGAAAAACACATGTCAGACGTTTGGCTTTGCACCCCGCAAACAGCCCAACAAACCTATGCATAGGTGGTATTGCTGTACTCAGGAGATGTTGCTGAACACATATTGGGGTGTTCTTTGGCAGTAACTCCTAACAGGAGCTGAGAATCCATGCCTAAAGTAGAAAAATAACACACAAAAAAAGACTACCCTAACATTTGACAGAGACTGGTGGTAGTATTAGTACGTGAAAAGTGTTAAAATACCACCATCTGAAATACCCTAGGGTGTCTACTTTTCACAAATATATGGTTTGATGGGGGTAAATTATATAGGCCGGCTTAAAAATGTCCCAAATGGAGCCAATTGTACCTGGGGACTTAGAGCCAGGTACAATTGGCTCTTAAGTAGGTGAGCAATCATTTTGCATATTTTTAAATCACATTAAGGTTAATACACTCGAAGTATTTGCTTCATTTTGTATCTCCTTTTCTGAGTTTCCTGGGTTCATATGCAGAAGAGGTCCGGTCAGGGCTGGATTAACATAGGGGCTGATGGAGCTGCAGCTCCAGGCCCAGGCCCATGGAATAGGCCCATTTAAAAAAAAAAAAAATTTACTTTTTTTTTTTTTTTTTTTACACACACTACTCTTAGGTTTGCCACCTGACTGGTATTTTACCAGTATTTGAGGCTGCCTGGCCAGTATTTGAGGCTTACCTGCAGTGATACTGGCAATACAAATGCAGGTATTTTTCTCAGTATAAAAGGAGATTACTCTGTAATACCAGCACCGGCCAGTAGGGGTCACTGTGTGTGGAGAGAGGCAGGGATAGGAAGTTCCAGCATATCACTCCCTGCCTATCTATACTCACTGATCCGCAGGGGAGCAGCTACACAGCACATAGACTTCATACCGCAACTCCCAGCCTGCAGAGACAGACTACAGCTCTGGGAAGTGAAGTATGGGGGGAAAGGCAGCAGAGAGACATGGGGACACTGAGACACTAGGGGACACTGAAAAACTAGGGGACACTGTGAGATAAGGGGATGCTGAGACACGTGGGGACATTGGGGGACACACAGAGACACATGGGACACAATGCCCCCATGCCTCCAAGCCAGTGTCCCTATTTTCTTAGTGTCCCCTAGTCTCCCAGTGTCTATATCCCCATGTCTCTCAGTGTCCCTATGTCTCCCAGTGTCCCCAAATGTCTGTGTCCCCATGTCAACCAGTGTCCACATGTCTCCCAGCCAGTCCCCCTAGTGTCTCAGTTCCCCATGTCTCCCAGCCAGTGTCTCTTGTGTCCCCAAATGTCCCCATGTTTCCCAGTGTATGTGTCCCATGTCTCTCAGTGTCCCTAGTGTCCCCAAATGTCCCCATGTCTCCCAGTGTCCCCAAGTGTCTCCATGCCTCCCAGCCAGTGTCCCAGTATCCCCATGTCTCTCAGTGTCCCTAGTGTCTTAGTGTCCCCATGTCTTCCAGTGTCTGTGTCCCTAGTGTCTGTGTCCCCATTTCTCCCCGTGTCCCCATTGACTTCCTGCTTCACTGGACACTGCTGTTAGGGGGTATGGATTTACTTGAAAGATTAAAGCATAAATTAGAGAGCGATTAGCATAGAGTATGTGTTTTCTTAAAGCTGCATCCTTTGAGTTTCCCTCCAACACCATCTCAATTAGATACTTGACGCTTGAGAGGTATGACTGTTTTAGTGTCTATGGTCGGTTAGATTCTTGTCATGACTGCTAGTGTGGTCCAGCACGCAGAGCTATGTAACATCTACATAGACAGAACAGAAAATGATAAAACGTAAACTGGTCCTTAGAATGGCCGGACTAATACATTAAAAACAGAGAATGGTCAAGGGAGCCAGAAATATACAATACCATTTAACAAGCCAAGTCAGAGAAGCCAGGAATCAGAATAGTCAGGAATAGCCAAGGTCAAAATACTGGGAATATCAAAAACAGGACAAGAAAACGCACTCTCAGGATTCAGGAACGAAAACCACGACAGGGCAATAACCTAGGTTAAATATCCCTCTGGCCTCTGACTGCAGAACGTGTGTGTGACCCTGGGAGGCAGAGCTATATCTGGCTGCGACCGCGTGTTCGGCACCATCTTGAACCCGACCAGGCAGCCAGGAGAACCCAGCAGAGCGGCTCCCGACTCGCTGCTGAGCAGGTAAGCTCAGTTCGTTGGCGCAGTCACACTGGTCCGGTGCGACCGCACCTTGTGGCGAGCCAGGGGCCGTGACAATTCTGTAATTAGGCCCCATCATAATTGTCAGCACCAGGCCCACTGGGCTCTTAAACTGGCCCTGGGTCCGGTGCCTGAATATATCCCCACTGATGAGATTTGAGCCTATCCTTGTAGGACTCTGCTCCATGTGAGTGTTTTATACACACCTTAAACCACTCCAATTATCTCAAACATATTGCACTATATTTTGTCACTTTATCTTGTTTCTTTAACATCCAGATTTCCCCATTAATAAAAGGGGTAAGTGTTTATTTAAGTATTAGCGCTCCACTGGGTTTACTTAGAGTGTAAAAACAAATATACCGCACTCAAAAAAGATGATTCTTGTGAAATCTAAACTGTATTGAATTGCAAGAATATTTATTATAATAGTAATTCATAGGTTAATCAAGTAAACCTTAGTGAAGTTCATTCCAATCATATATATACATCGATTATTTACATATATACACACAAAAAACCTCCCTGTGCTGAATTTCATGAACTATATATCTATATACATAGGTTGTGGATCCAAAAAATGCATGAAAATAAAATGTCCAGAAAAATATAGTAAAAAAAGGAAAAAAGGCAGAAAAAAAGCAAAAAAGAAAAAAAGAAGAAAAAATGAATGAAAAAAATGTATATATTTTCCAGTCCTATTGATAGTCCAAAATATAGTGCACTATATACTTCATATAATTCATAAATTTATAGATGGATCTCACGTGAACTTGATAGTATATTCAGTAAGAGGGTGGTAGATCTTGTAGATGATGTATATTGAATCAAAGTGAAGATGGGTGAAAATGAGTTGTAGCTCAATGAGAAAGTAATCACTCGTCCCTTTTGTAGTATCTGGTCAGTCTAGCAGGTCTTTTCCTGAGTTCGAAATCGTGGGTAGTCCTGTGAATCGGGCTGAAATGGGCTGCGCGCTCGGGACGTTCCTGTCCCTTCAAAGGCCCCTGTTCCTCTCCGTCCTGCCAAAGTATAAGCATATCACTTAAATGTCCTCATTAGGCGGCAAAAAAACGCCGCGGCCACTCCTTGCTGTTACTTCCGCCTACTGACGTCAGCGTGCGTCGCTACGTCATACGCATTCAATTAAACTTTATTGTTCACATACATATTGTATAATGACAAAATTAAAGGGAAATCTCACATAGACATAAGTAACTATGTGATACATATGATTACAGAGGCAATGGAATTGTTTATGCAAACTAAATGGTGCTCGAATCTAAAGCAGTCTTAAACCTGAAAGACAAAATATACTCAAGAGAAAAGAAACAGAAAATAGTAGTTAAATATATTTAAAAACCTAACTAATGTGTGATTATTACATTGCTCACCTGCAACAGATGATCAAGAGAACAGGAATATCTGTAACTATAGATCAGTAGAATAGTCAGCTAAGAAAAAGAAAAAATAATAAAAGATGGATTGTCTATATCTATTGCAACAATAGAAAACAATGTTCAAAAGATTCCAAATAATAAGTAAAAAGAAAAAAGAAAAGAGAAAAAAATTCAAAGAACAAACAAAAAATGAAAAATGATATAGAAAAAATGTGTTAAATGAAAAATGATCCTCATTAAAAAGTTTTTTGTTGTAGCAAAATTTGAGAAAAATGGAAAAAAAATAGAAAAATAAAACTAAAAATACAGAGTATGCAACTCACCTGTCTCGTATTGCCCCACCGTGCCCCTGGGTCCCGTATGTGGGGAACCCTGTGCTGATGGCAGGTAGCGGACCCAAAGCGGTCAAAATGTTGGCAGGGAAGAACATCGGACCAAAACTGGTCAAGGGGAGCCTCTGTAAGGAGCAGAAAATCATAGAGCAGACAATAAATGCAAAAATGAAGAAAAAACTTCTCACAAGAAATGTTTAAGGTCATAATCTTCATTAAGCCCTAATGGTGACAAAGTCTCCAAGGTACTTATCCATTTTGTTTCTCTTTGTAATAAAAGTTTCTGTCTATCCCCTCCTCTGCGTAGAGGTGGAATTCTGTCCAAGACTTGAAACCTTAACTGGTTTACGTTATGACCATATGCTTTAAAATGTCTGGGTACCGGAGCCTCCACTTTATTGTGTTGTAATGCTGCCCTAATGCTCCTTTTGTGCTCCCCTATCCGCTCTTTCACTGGCCTGATGGTCTCCCCCACATACAGGAGTCCACAGGGACACTTGAGAGCATACACAACAAAGTCGGAGTTGCATGTAAAAAACTCTAAACTCTAAACATAAAATTTCTTACCTGATCTGGGATGTACAAAATATTCCCCCTTGATCACACTGTTACAGTGTGAGCAATTTAAACATGGAAAAGTGCCCTTCTTAGGTTCTGAAAAGAATCTAGTTTGTTTCTTCGAACTACCAATATCTGATCTTACTATCATATCCCTCAGGTTCGAGGCCCTCTGGTATGCAAAAAGGGGAGACTGTTGGAATATCGGGGGTAATTGGGTATCCCCCTGAAACAGTTGCCAATGTTTTAATATAACATGCCTCATCTCCTTATTAAGTGGGGTATATGGTGTTACCAACGTAATCCTTTCCACTTTGTCTCTGGCCCCTGTACCTGAAAGGGTTTCTTGTCGAGAGAGATTATCAACCTTCTGTCGTTGATTGTCAACTACATGTGTGGGATAGCCCCGTTCTATGAATTTATTGGCCATAAAATCTAAACCCGTCATAACTTTATCTTCCTGTGATACAATCCTTTTTACCCTTAATAATTGACTAAATGGTAATCCATTCTTTAGATGGATAGGATGGAAACTTGAGTAGGTCAATAAATTGTTACGGTCAGTAGGTTTTATGTACAGGTCACTGTGAAGACAATTTTGTACTCTCTGTACCTGAACGTCTAAAAAAGGGACTGTAGTAGTATCACAGCACATGGTAAATTTAATGTTTTCATCTTGTGTGTTTAGTGACTCAAAAAATTCCTGTAACTGGGCCCTAGTGCCGCTCCAACATATGAACACGTCATCTATGTATCTTTTCCAGACTAGGCATTTAGAAAATAAGGGATGTTCGTAGATGCATGTTTCCTCCATTCGATTCATATAAATGTTAGCA